ACCGGAGAAAAACCCAAAAAAAAAAAAAAAAAAAAAAAAGAAAGAAATACATCTTTTCCAATAAAAATTTTTAAGCACAAAATTTTCAGCTTTGAGTATAAAATAGCAGAGAAAATGTAGATAGGCAGAGTGGTTTAAATTTCCTTCTGGGTTGAAATAATAAAAGGAGAACTTGCTATTTAAATGCACCTGAGAAAGAAAAATGAGAAACAGACTGTATTCTTTTATGATTCAAGGGCTCAGCCTTACAAACATTTGCAAAAAATTTTAGAGGTGTGCTTCTTGGTACCTGCTGTAATGCACACATGCTAGAATCTATTTGACAACACTCAACTCCACACAGCTTATTTATTGTGTCTGTATTCATCAGCTTTTCCATTGCCGGAATGAAAAAAGCCCTTATGCTCTGCAAGCATTCCTCAGACTCACACACAGTCTTCAATTTCTTGGCTGTATGTGGAGCAAGAAGGACACACATCTGACTTGTCTTCCAAATAAACTTTTCCCTCTTGTCTTGGTTTTAATTAGTCCTTTGTATTGTCATGCATTTGACACATATTTTTATCACATTTATACTTTTGTTGCCTATATCTTTGTATATGTATATTCTGTCCACTTCAAAGGGTAAGTTTAGAAAAAGTTCAAAACAACCAATAGTATATTGATCACTTAATGAATAGGTGGTAAAATTTCAGTTCAGTGACACAAAGTTCTTGATTTCTAGTGACGTTTTTTTAACTGAAATCTGCCACTTTTCTGTGGTGACCTGTCAAATTATACTTGATACTACTGCATAATGTGAGATTTGATGGTGACCTCCTCCCAAACAATCAACCTCAAGGCCAGCAGGCAGGAAGTGTGTATCACTTTCAGAGAATTACAAACAATAGCAACCCAACCAAAAACCAGGCACCTTCTTATCATCACCATGACCCAGACATGAAAATACTACTAGTGATAAAAATATCTTCCTGAGAAGATTTTACTAGTCTAAATTTTAAATAATTGCTTCTTTTACTGCAGCCAATTATGTGTGTGTTCACAGACCTCAAAATATATTTTTTCTGTACCTTATGGAAAACATTTGTGTTCTATAAAACTGCTACTTTGGACAATGTTTTCCATCACCTGCAGTACCTGATATGTCTGGTCTCAGTCACCCATGTGTGATGGACAGTGATCTGTAACAATTCCAAATGACTCCAACTGGGGGTGGCCCAGTCAGCACTGCAAACCCTTGTGGCAATACACATTGCTGTATTTAAGTGGCTGATTCTAAGTAAAAGGTATTAGCTGACAAAGGGTACAGATGGAAACACACAATTTAAATTGTATTGATTCTGTCATTCTACATAACCATTTCGTTTTTTAATTGTGTTGAAAATTTAAAATGGTGAACTAAAGTATAAATTGTGAAATATAATACTTTTATTGAGAAGTGTAAAATTATACTTACATATGAAATATTTACTTTGACTAATATCTGGAAAGTTGATATTTACTACTTTACTATTATTAATTGCTTAAACTTTTACATGAATCCAGAAAGTTGTTATAATTTTTCTTATTTTTACATTATTAATGAATATGTTTTTCACATAGAAGAAGAAAGTATGTTCATTATGATACTGATTGTAAACAGACCCATACTAATTCTGAAATCATTGTCTAATAAATTTAGAACTTGGTGACTTCCAACATCAAACTAATATAACAGTCAAAGCATCTAAGAAGTTACTTTATGTAAATTATCAATTAGAAAAAGCGCTCTCTGGCTCCCAGAGTCAGGGTGCTTAGGCATCTTTGTGGTATATAGCTCTATCAGGTTATTGAGTGCAGCTTAATGGAAGGTAAGTCACAGCAGGAAAACTTGGAGAATCATAGTCCCATATGCCTGCCTACGCATACGCACACAGCATGATGGAGAGAATAACTCAGTTCTTCTAAGACTCACTTGGTTTGGAGCTATTTGTTTCTCTCTAACACATGTAATAACGAAAAGATCAATTTTCTTTATGAACAGCTTTTATTCTTCATCTTTGGTTTATCTCTATTTTCTCCTGCCCTTTAGCATATACATACCTGGTACCTTAAAATTATCTTAGTAGTTCATAATAATAGGTTGAAAGAAATAGTAGCTCAAATCTTCATTTTTAAAAGTTGTGTGTGTGTGTGTGTGTGTGTGTGTGTGTGTGTGTGTGTGTGTGTTTCATCCTCCATATCAGTAGATTCCCAGTTCATACATTCATTTAACTTTGGTTTGAATATACAGTACTTGGAAAAATGTACATCTGAACTGAATATAAAGTGACTATTCTCTTGTCATTATTCCACTAATGATACCACATAACAATTACACAGCATTTACATTGTTTCAAGTATTATAAGTAATCTAGAGATTACTTAATATATATAGTAGTATGTACATGTGTTGTACACAAACATTACTTCATTTTATATAAGGGATTAAAGAATTTCCAGATTTGAGTACCCTACCAGGGGGGTGGTCCTAGACCAAAGCCCTGTGGAGAGCAAGAAATGATTATCTTTCCAAATGCATGTGCCCAGAAAAATTATTTCTGGAGAGAAGTGTTTGTTTTGAGTTGATGAAATTCTAACACTCTTTGCTGTCAATGCATGAAGGTTGCTCTGCTTTAAAGACTATTTAATCAAAGCTTACATGCTCTTCTATGACTCTGCCTTCATGTGGCAGGTGACCAAGTTTCTAGTGTACTTATTTTCTCTCCAAAAAATAAAAAAAGTACATGTGATCTGTGATGTCTATTATGAGTAGAAATTATCTGGTATAATAGGTACATGAAGAGCATCCCAGGGGGTTCTAATGCTGCTATCTAAACTATGTATTAAACAGTGCATAATCTGCCATTAGTAATGGAACAAATGTAAAAAGATACACTTCCTTTGTTACCAAAGATTATCACTTCCATAAAAGGCTATGCTGTATATAGTTCTTTTCCTACGTAAGTATGCAGATATTCTGTGAAAATGTGGCACTATTTGCACGAAGCTATTTTAAAACCAGTCATGGCCACACCCAAGAAATAACACAGAAGATAATGCATCACTTTTGGAATCCGTTAAAATGTCATTACTGCCAAGAACGTGACAGATGAGGCTAATTAGCTATTGTATTGCATGTTATAGCATGTGTTCTGGAATGTTACCGGATCAAGTCTTCTCAGCATATGTGACATATTTTGTCAACTTTATGAATGATTTTAAAATGAGTAGTTCACAAATTAATGAAAATATTTAAAATAATTTTCTCTTCTCTAATTTTTTGATGTGTTTATTTTATGTCAGTCTTAGACAAGGCATCTTAAAATCCTGAAAAGATCATATCCTCCTTTTCTCAAAAGACAGGCTGCAGTCTTCCTCCAGTGCTTTGTGGCTCTGCTGCTCTTGTCTCTAAGGAAGCAAAGTGTAACTCAAATCTTGGGACCAGCATGCCAGAAAATGAACATTTCTGTAAGACCACCTACATTTCATATTTTTCTTAATTAAACCTCAAGTATCTGTAAAAATCATTTACATAAGGGACTAAAGTCTCCTAAGTAATTCCATGTAATTATGTGATTTTTTAATCATACAATGTTATTTTCCTTTCTCAAAATTAAGGAGTTGTTTTGCTTACTAATAATGTAGCTGCTTATACATTCTTTACATTAGCAATTGGCAGACAACTGTGTACTAGCCAAACTAGCCAATGTCTGACATTTTTTAAAATGTCTTATTTAAAACCAGCTATTTTTATTCATGTATGTATGGTGTTTGGATATCTTTTCATTACGAAGTCAGAACTGAGCAGTAGTGACAAAGATCATGTAGAGTATTTACAACCCAGATTTCAGAGGGAGTCTCCATGTTAAATAGCTATTTACTGAGCACTTACTTTATACTGAACACTCCGCAAGGTACTAAAAACATAACTGTTAAAAATTCTATCCTTTCACAATGAAATTTTGATTGATTTGGTAGCAGAAAATATGAGCTGAAAGAATAAGGACACAAACTAGATATGGTACACAGAAAAACAATATAAGATCCAAAGAGGAAGATATTCTCAATTAATGAAAATGAAATTAAAGGAAACTATTATTTATTCTTGAGCAGAATAAAAAGGCACAAAACTTCTACCTACTTTAAATCTCATGGCTTGATAGTAGCATCTGCAAAGAACTCATTCCTTGGGAAGTTATCCAATATTCCACCAGGGATCATATTTCAAAGTAATAACTGCCAAATGAGAAAAAAATCAATTTTGATGTGATTTGGGAGCTTTTGTTATACCTGATAAATTATTTGATATATTTCTTTTACAGGAGTAAATCAAAATGTCCAATGTTTCTTTGAATTGTGAAAGCTTACAAAAATGAGTATAGCATTGTTGACATTTATTTATAATTTCTTTTATTATGAGCAACAACACTTAAAATTTATGTAATGACTTATAAATATTTTTTCTCTGACATCAAGACAGACATTTTGTAATTGGGCTGATCTAAACACTAGATCTCAGTGTGAGTAGAGGAATGAAAACATAACACAAATACAGTTAAATCAAGGTATGAGTGACTTTATTTTGGAAATATAAATTTGAAACAAATGCAAATGGTTTCAACATGTCTAAAAGGAAAGCATTTATTTAACCTACACTCCTAGGTTTTTTCTCTGATTTTCAGTATATTAGGAAGATGTACTTCCTTCTGAACCTAGAACAATTCTCTGTGTCATAGAAATTTATGTTGACGTTTTCCAACACAACAATGAGCTAACTTTTTTGGACATGATAAGTCTTATAACATTTGTTTTATTTTTTATTTATTTATGTAGATATTTAACCAGAGTTTTCAGATATACCTATGGGGTCAAGACCTCTGGTTTAGTTTATACTTCAATGAAAGTTCCAATCATTATACAATCATATTTCAGTTATACTTTTATTATAATATGCCTTCCTCCCAAACTGTGGTGAAATTATTAATGACAAAAACATGACTACCAGATTTCTGAAAGCAATTAATAGTAGACTAAAGGAAACCATGCAAAATAACATGGAAAAGATGCAGATAGCCAATGGCTGCAAATCTAGCAGGCAAATTAGCTATGGTTTGGTGAGTGGGAGCGTCAGAATGAATACATAATTTCAGATGTAATGGAGAGATGTCATTTCTATAATGAAAGTTGTTTTTAGTTATTTTGGAATATAAGATTTATAACTGAGTTCATAATACAACATCTGATACATTGTGGGTATTTACATGTTTGCCAAACAAAAGAATAGACTGGTTTAATGCTAGTTTTGATGGAACTAGTTTTATAAGTGAAACACTAGTGACATGTCCATGGGTGATTAGTGATAATATAGCAACAACACAAACTTGGTGGATTTCAGCACACACATGATTGAGCTATATTTTGCTTTTATTTTGTAGTAATCTCATACTAAGGACATCTAAGAAACAGTTGAGAAGGCAGTTGACTCAGTATCAGAGTACTAAAGTTACTGTAACTAAAGCACTTAAATTCAGGGACTCTGTGGAGAGGGCTCATGCCATTTCGTTCAATACTCTCACTTTATTTGTTTATTTATTCATTTATTTTGTACAGGGAACCAAACTCGGGACCCTGGCTTGCCAGACAGGTGCTGTGTCGCTGAGCTATACCTGCAGCCTCACCCTCTCTTTAAAGCAAGAGTGTAAGAATGAGTTTCCACTGCAGTCCCACCGTTTGTATCATCAGGATTTAAGCTTGAACTTTTAAAAATCTCACACCTACCGGTAGAGAAAATTTCTCTTAGAGAAACTCATAGAGCCTTCTTACACAGTTTATTATTTAGCTTAGTGTGGTTTTCACTCACTATTAATGGGGTCATATTGCCTATTCTCGTACAATTTGATGTTTAGCTCAGCAGCATAGTGTAGGATTCATTTTTAATGATGATAGCGATGTAGTTTTGGTTTAAAAATTCTATCGTGTAGCAGAAGATGAGATGCTGTATCTGAAGAAGCCAGTACCTTGAGATTAAAGTCACAATGGCCAGATTCACCATGACCATTTATCCGAAGGACGAGATGGAAGCTTGTGATTATACTGTAATTGGTGCCACCCTTTTGGGACGTCCCATAGAAAAAGACCATTACCTCACTGGGGTTGGGCCATCCTCTGTCACTCACTGTGAGACTAAAACTGAATGGAAGACTAAGACTTTAGATTGTAGATTATCAACCAAGGTTAATGATTCCATTCGTATGCCCTTACTACATGCCCTGCTGCACTGCTGGATCAAAATTAGCTAAGCAGCTATATGTGTAATCATACGGTTGATCATAATTTGACCCATGCTGTACCTACCTGGTACCTTTGCTCTATAAAATATTCTCAGAGAGATTATCTCAGTGGCAACCTATTCGGGACCCTTCCTCTCTCCCGGCAGCTATTTCTATTTCCCGTTTCCCAGCTGCAAACTGTATTCTCTTTCCTTTGAGCACCATGCTCTCCTTGTGAGTGCACCGCAGCTCTCAATAAATCTTTCCCACTCTTAAAAATTTTCATTGTGTAATATCATGTGAATATTGACACACCTGAATACTTGTTGTTGTTGTTGTTGTTGTTGCTGTTGTTGTTTTCGGGTACTGGGAATTGAACTCATGACCTCGCGCTTGCCAGGCAGGTCCTGTGCAGCTGAGCTAAATCCCCAACCCTTACAGCTGAATACTGATACACCTGAATAGTAGATATTTGAAATACTTGTGACTTTTTACTATTTTGATGAATGGTACTAGTAGTATTTTGTACGTCTACCACTCATTAGTAAAAGTTTCTCAGAGTAATTAAAACTGAAATTTAAGAACTAGTAGTCAAATATAAAATCATTTCACAACATACAAACATTACCCTAAAATATTACAGATAAGACTAAACTATTAAAAGCATTAGCCATAGCCATAAGTAATAACTGTTTCATAATATTTTATACCCATGTATGTGTTTGTATACATAGTAACAACAAAAGGTTAATGAAAAGATTTTAAGAAGCTCTACTGAATATATATATAAACTATTGTTATATATAAATTATGTATAATATACATATATGTATTTAAAACTAGGAATGTAATTCCACATGCTCAAGTTTTGTAAAATGAATACATTGGTTTTTTTAGTATTAGTATATGATACTTTCTATTTCACCACTTTTTTATCAATTCTTCTTGTCAGACTCAAAGTTTCATGCCAAGATTATACTGCTTTATAGAATGAACAGTGGGTATTCTCTGGTTATACTTATGGAAGAATAGTTATGATTATTTCAAGAGCATTTTAAGATGTTATCTTTAAAGATTTAGATATTTTATATCTTTAAAAGAAAACATTTAATATCTCATGCAAAATTTCTATTTAGTTTTCAGTCAGCTTTGATTCATATTCTTCTAGAAATATCTAAATTTCATCTAGTTTTCCAGTTTCTTGGCATAAAACCATTTATATTTTGCATTTATTATCTTTGTAATATGTGTCACCTTATGGTATTTTCATTCCTCAATGTGTTTGTTTTTATGATGCCTCCTTTTTCATCAGTATTTCTGGGTCTATGTCTATTTCAATAGCTTTCAAAATAACAAACTTTTGCTATATTGTTTGTCTCTATTCATGATTTGTTCTATTTCATTAATTTTTTGTATTTTTGTTCCCGGTGATTGAACCCCTATTTCCATACAAACTTTATAGATTGGTAGCTCGAAAATATTTTACTCATATCAACAGCTCAAGTCACGCTGTAACCTGAGCACAAAAGCAAAATAAACTAGAACAATAAAAACAGTGATTCCAATAAGGACACAGAAATTAGAATAACATTAAAATAGGGCCATGTAAATACTAAATAAATTGAGATACTATTTCCCTAAAGCTGTAGACTACTATTGAATGAGTACATCCACTATATTTGGTTGACATAGAAAATTATTGGATAGAGCAAAGGCCTCTGATTTTAAATTAAGATCTGATTTTATCAAGAACTATATCTTTTAGTAAAAGTAAACTAAGAATTGAGGATGAACTTTACACTAAAGGACAATTATGGAAGCTGGGTACACTTAAAAATAATTTCTTCAGATATTTGAAAGCTACCAAATATTACAAGGACTTACTGGCCCAGATTTAGGGAATGCATATAGCCAAAGAGCACAAACCATTCTTTCAAGGTCACTTTCCCTAAAGCTTGTGAAGTAATGAGAAGTTGAGTAAAACATCTGATAGTAGCAGCTATACAGAACAAAGATAAACCATAAGATACAGCTACTTGAAAACAACGTTGCTCAACTCAAATAACTTCAATCTCTAAATTTTATTCAGGTAATCTTCACATGTTAGAACACTAACTCACACATACACATCACTTTTGGGAAAAATAATATTAGTAGAAACTCAAAATATTTCTATGAACAATTTTAGAGTAAAATAGCATACACAAAAGGACATATGAGAACATGAAAAGAATAAGAACTCAGTAAAAATAACAGCTAATTTTTAAAAAAACCATAGGGACTGAAGCTAGAGGAATTATCTGACAAAATTTAAAGCACTTTATTTACTCTGCATGAAAATAAAAGACAATCTTGAAAATTATTTGAAAGTAAAGTTTTCAAAAGGTACCTTAGAGTTGGGCATGGGGGAACATGTCTGTAATCCTAGCACTTGGGAGACTGAGACAGGAGGATTTCTCGGAGTCCAGGGTCAGCCTGGGGTACATAGAGAGTTCAAGGCCAGCCCAAACTGCATGGCAAGACCGTGTCTAAATAAATAAATAGATAGAGAAATAAATAGATAAATAAATAAATATTGAATAGTGAAATGCCCTAAATTATCAATTACTTAGATAAATTTAAAGTGGATTAGACATAGCTGAAGAGAGCTTTATTACCCAGGAAAACTGATCAGAAGATGTATTCAGAATAAGGATCTAAAATACAACTGCATGGGAAATTAGGGAAGAAAATACAGTAATAATAATTAAAACATTTATAATGGAACTCCTCTAAACAAACTACAGAATGAAGCAGAACATCTTTCTTAGCAGATAATGACTGAGAACTCTCCAACCTTTCCAAGACTTGTCAAAGTGCATTACTCTACATGTTCAAGAAGTTCTATAACTCCAAACACAGGGGCATATCTTAGAATAACTACCATATGAAAATATGAAAAATCTTTAAAATACGTACAGAGGATAA